TTTACTTAGCCGTTGAGCACCAAACATTGTACATGTTTGGTTCAAGTTGAGCGCGCCACATTCCCACGTGATTGGTTTAGGGCCGGCTGCTACGCTACTACGCCACGGGGCCCAAGCGCCGAGGCTACGCCAAATGGCGCTTGATGCCACAACACCTTTATGAGTTCTTCCGCCAGTGAGTTCGCCAATAACAATAGCTTTTATCTCGAGTTTTCCTTCCAATGCCCCTTGATTAACCTCACGCCCACGTTGACATCGAGCTTGTTGCATATTAATACAACTTGCCGGACGAGTCCCATGGCTAGCTAGTGTGGATGAGTCCGAGCCGTAATCTTGGGCTCATTTAGAACCCGCCAATACACCCTCAGTCTCCTTGGTTTAGGTGCTAGTTTGCAGCGTTTAATAACGGTTCTAATGTTCAGCCCCGGGAATAGACTAACACCCTCTAAGTCTTATGTATTCCTTGGTTCTGGGCCTCCGGCGCCAGAACCATTCAAAAGCGATAATTTCAGGCGTGCACGGATGCACGCCCTATCAACGACATTTAGGACGACTTAGTATATAATATAGACAAAAGAAAGCTGAGGAGCCCGTTGGGCAGTAGTTCAACATGTGCCGCAAATGAGATTGCCGCTGAGTGCCGCTAAGATTGCCGCTGCATGCGGCAATGTCACTGCAGCGGCAAAATCCCGTAGCCCCATGACATGGAATGGCAGCGGGTACCTGGTTCGACTCCAGGCCGGGTCACTGACAAATCATGTATGCCTTTTCGTTCTACGTCGGCGCTCAGCCCATCTAAGGAGGCTCCGGAGTAGGGGAATGAGACCCAGTAGCCGAAGGTACCGCACCCGTACCGTGTAATATGGACGCTGGCGAGTTTGGCAGCGGGAGGTCCTGGTTCGACTCCAGGCCGGATCATGGTTTGATGGTGTGGAACAGATTCTTTTTTCTCGTCCTGTTCATTTTTAAGCCCTGATTTCCCCATAGCCCCCTCGAAGAGATTCCGAACTGGGAGGATGAGACCCAGTAGCGGAAGGCCCGCACCCGCACCGTTTATTGACGTCTCGTCGTATCAGCAGGCTGGTTCGATTCCAGGTTGGGTCATCGTCTCCTCAAGTTCTTTTTCTCCCTCGTTCCTTTGCGTTCCATCGCTGATTCTGTTGTAGTCTCCTTGAAGAGGTTCAATACTGGAGGGGGAAGACCCAGTAGCGGAAGCGGCCCGCGACATGTACGAAATAAAGCTTCGAAATTGGCACAGCGGATACCTGGTTCGACTCCAGTCTGAGTCGCTGACAAACCATGTATGTTTTGCGCATTGCACTTCGTCTTAGATCCAGATGGTGGCCGCTAGGCCCAGAATTCAGATGCATTAGATCACGGGCGAGAGCGACAGCTCTCCGGCGCAATGTGAGGATCCTGGCGCGAAACCCCGAAGAGTAGGAGCAGACGACGCATCCGCCAGAAGGATCCCCACAAACTAGGAGGAAAGGCTCCGTGATATTGCGGAAGTATGAGACTAGCAGAGACATTGTTGTAGGCAATGCACCAGCAGCAATAGCAGAACATATCATAGCAAGAAGGGTGAAGCCATCCTGAGCAGCAAATGCAATAGCAGAGTGCCACTGGGGGATACCCCAGTCGGTGTCATAGCAAATAGCGGTAGAAGGTGCATGGCGCGAATGGGGCTATCCATCCTGGCCAGTATAGCGTCAATAGCAGCGACCGAAGGCCAGCGTTGTAGATGGGTTGCATGATCCGATGGGAGCTATCCACACCGGTCAGAGTAGTGTTAATATCGATGCCCGAAGGCTAGCGTGGTGGATGGATTGCATGACCCGATGGGGGCTATCCATCCCGGTCAGTGTAGCGTTGATATGGATGCCCGAAGGCTAGTGTGGTAGATAGATTGCATGACACGAATGGGGGCTATCCATCCCGGTCAGCATAGCGTTGATATAGATGCCTGACAGCTAGCGTGATAGAGGGTTGCATGACACGAATGGGGGCAATCCATTCCGTTTAGCATAGCGTGATGCGATGAAATGGTGGCAGAGAGGTTTCTTGAATCCACCCGGGGGTAAAGATGCTATCTTGCACCCCGATGACTGGGCAGACGCCTCGGGCCCAAGATTCACCAAGCATTGAGAACTAAGAGTGAAAAGGGCCCAATGCGAGGCACAGAAGAGAGACAGGGGTCAATAGGAGTCGCGCGCTGAAAGGGCACCCAGTAGAAGTAGACGACGGCCACAGGAATGCTGGGGAAGAAAGAAGCCAAAATGAAGACTAGGGAAATGAGGCCCAGTAGCAGACGGTCCGCGCGCCCACATCGTGTACTGGCGTCTCGTCGTATCAGCGGGAGTCTCTGGTTCGACTCCAGGCTGGGTCATATTTAATTCGAGTTTCGGCGACTTTTTTTTTTTGGCTCTCAATGCTTGTTGTGCCTGCATATCTGAGGCGACGCAGGCGGGTGAATCCGACAGAGACCATCGCCGCGGCCCTCCCAGCCTTGATGTATTTGAATGCTAGCATCAGCGAGCTTCTCCTTGAGCGCTTGAGCCCTTGCTGCGTTTGCAGAACTCATCGGCGTATACAAATCCATATGCGGCCTCTGATTTGGGTGAGACATCTCAACATCACGAATGCACATGATTTATATTCTGCCCTCAATAGGTAGGCTCAGAGTTGAGCTTCTGCGGCAGACGCAGACACAGAAGGTCATGTGCTGTGACTGCCGCATCACTGTTGGTAGTTGTTTACTCGTGTATACTAGAAGCCTTTGACACCCCCCGAAAAACATCTCTCACATTTTCATCGCCCTAGGGCCCTACTACACCATCTAAACTCAGGCTATAATATCGCTTAATTCGCTCCCACATGGCCCCGTCCGAAGACAAGCTCCCCCCGCTCCCGTGGGCGGCAAATGGGGGAGCACTGACTTGGACACTTCTCGCATGTCTCCAAGAAAAGGAGAACTTTAGCGTTCTTTTTGGCAAGCAGGATCCCAAGGAGGTGAGCAGAATATTCCCAGTCCTTCCCTGCTGAATGTTGATCCATATTGGTCAAGAATACATCATCTGACCACAAAATCACGGTCTACGAGCGCATCGCACAGAAGATGTTTCCGGAAGACTTCAAGACCCATGCCAAGATGCTCGGGAGACGTGTCAAGGGAAAGACAGAGGAGTACGCCGCTTGATTCCCTTCGCAATGTGCACTAACTGTTACTAGTTTGTGCAAAATATACAAAGAAAAAGCGGCCCGTCTTCGCGTTACCGGAGGGGGTGTTGGTGCTCCAGAGGACTCGGGTGCGGATGGGGGGCATCAGTACCTTGACTATTACATCCCTGAGGATGGTCCTCACCACGATACACCCGTGGCAGCTGTGAATCTTTGGGGTGCGTCGTCATATTCATGGAAATTGTATGGTGTATTGACCTCATGTCAGAGCAACTTAACCAGGAGTTCCCCTACTTCTCGGAGCTCCACAAGTTTCTCAGTACACGCCCCAACGTTGTGCCTCCCCTCATAACGACTGGGATTGGTCCGCAAGGTCGTAAAATTGTCCACAATCAGACCCTCGTGCCAACCTCGCAGAGATTTGACGAGTCTGTGATTGATCCTGTCCTTCTCAACCTGACTGCTACCCCTCCCTCCCGTTATTCAAGTCAACTTGATGTCCACCCTGCAGACGATTCCCCCCTGCGTCTGATTAGCACTAATCGTCGTCTCGAGTCGCTCCAGACCCCACAAACCGGGGGTAAGCCTGGCATTGCCCCGAAGTCCATTAAAGGGCCGAAGACTTCGACTTTTGGCGGCAATCTCACCAACGCGATGGACAAGGCCCGCCACGCTCTTAAACACATCCCGAAAAAACGTTCACTCGAGGACGTGATTATGGAGTCTTCCCGGTGAGTTCCTGGTCGTCTTTCTATTGGTAAAACTCTGTACTAACTTGTATCAGTGAAAATCTCGAGATAGCGAGAGAACGCGCTGTTGCACAGGCGGAGCATCGCCGTCAGAACCTCATCCTTTCACAGAAGAACCAGATCATGGAGATGTTCAAGCTGGGGATCAAGACCTTGGAGGAAGCGCGGGCAGAGATCGCTTTGCTTGATGCTCCTCCCAAGGCATCTATGTCTCGTAGGTCTCCTCGGCGTTCTCGTACCCCGGGTACCCCTCGCACCCCTCGCACGCCCCGCACACCCCACCATCGCCGCTCTGCTCGTCAAGCCTCGTCTTCCCCTATCCAGGATCGTACATGATCCACCCCTCTCGCCAGAGCCCACGAAATCCCGGATGGTCATCCATCCACTGCTTTTCCCGCTCCTTTTCCTCCGGTGTTAAAGGCCGAACAAACATATCGTGCAGAGACTCGATTGCATCGAAGCAGCGATACGTAAAGGCCTCAACAGATCCCTCACTAATCCCAGCCATCCGTGCTATGTCCTCGAGCGATGCAGCGTTGCCGTAGTGCCCCAGACGATAGAGAGTCACAGCAAGCTGTACATCGACAGGAGTTTGGGGCACATTAGAGTTGTTGGTGAAGATCATGTGGTCCTGGATGAGCTCGAGTATGACTGCAAAGACCATTGGAGAGACCCGAAGCATCCCCTGGAATCGTCCATGATCCTCTGGGTTCTCCGCATAGACCCAGGCGAGGCTTAAATTCCCTGATTTGGAAACAGCCGGTCGACCCCGCAAATATCGAGTGGATTTTAGGGCTGCAAGGATGGCCATATCAAGCTTCAGCTGGGCAGTTTTTGCTAGAAGTTCTGCCTCTGCATCGTCTCCGTTCTCGTCCTCGTCCTCGTCGTCATCAAAGGAAGGAGCCAGCAAGTCACGGAGAAACATGTGTTTGAGATAGGAGCTCGTAACCTGAGAGTGGACAGTTTCTCGGCCCATTGGTAAAGCGCGAGATGTGGGGGGTGTTATCAGGGACATGTGGGACAATGGGGATTGATTTATAGTATGGCACAAAGTCTTATCGATGTAGAATACAGGTGCCGCGCCACGCGCCGCGCACGCCCCCAATTAGGCCCGAAATGGACTGGAACAAATATTGTGACCGACCGTCACGGCACATGACCTTCTGCGTCTGCATCTGCCGCAGAAGCTCAACTCTGAGCCTACCTAATTACCGGTCCGTCTTACCCGCTCGCGGCCGGAAATAATGCACAGAACGAAGGCGTGTATGCGATCGAAAGCAATCGCTTTCCTCTCGTTGGATGAAGGGAAATTTATCGAGATCTTCATTCCTCAAATTCTGGAAATATGCTCGTGCTCGTACTGGCGCATGCCAGCACTTCGGGCGATGGATCCCTGAT